GGGGCCCCCGCTACGCGCCTGGCACCAGCCTGGGGAGACTGCGTCCAGCCTGGCAGGGGGTCCGTGCCACCGCCACCGCTGCAAGGGCCCGATCCCCAGGCCCTGGGGCTGGGAGGAGGGTTTAGCACCATAGCAGCCACTGTTGCCATAGCAACTGCATCCCAGGTCTCCATGGAGGCGGCCTGGACCAGCTGCTGATGGTCCCTCGGGGGGCTGGGGGGGCAGGGACCCCACGTGGTGCCTGCCTCCCCTCCCCGTCCACCCCCAGGCCGGGGCAGAGCGTCTCTGGGCCGCATCAGGCCTCAGGGCACCATCCAGCCACGCGGCCCAGGAGCAGAGACGGGCACAAGCGGGCGACACCGCTGGAGGAGGCCTCGTCCCTGCCGGCTGCGCGGTGCCAGGCTGCGTGCGGGGGCCTGGGAAGGCCCTTGGGGGAGCGGGGGGACGGTTGAGGGATCGTCTTCTTGCTGACAGCGATGATGACTCTCCCCAGGAGCCGTGCAGGCACGTGTGCCCACCCGTACGCACACCACCACGCAGCCCTCCTTGCAGGAACACACGTGTGCGCACAAGGAAACGCATCGTGCACACAGACACCGGCACACCTACTTGCACGAACACATGCAAATGCTCTCACACCAACAACGCCACACTTAGCGAAGGAATAGCATATGCCCCGCATGGCATACACATGCACGTGCCCTGCCTCGCACGCACATGGGCACACACACACACACACACACATGCCACGCATAGCATACACACCTGAACACACAGCCATGCATAGTGCACACACCCTGCATAGCGCAGACACACGTACACATAGGCACACATACAAAACACCATGCATAGCATATATGTGCACACACAAAGCCATGCACAGCATACACACACATACACACACAAAGCCATATGTAGCATACGGACAAATGCGTGCACACAAAGCCAGGCATAGCATACACACGTGTGTGCACACAAAGCCAGGCATAGCATACATGCATAAATACACACATGCAAGCCATGCATCACATACACACGTGCATGCACCAAGCCATGCATAAGACACACGTACACACACACAGCCATGCTTAGCAATGCCTGGCATGAAGCCATGCACAGACACACAGTTATGTATAGTGCATGCGTGTAGACGCGTGCATGCACCCCCACACACACACAAAGCCCTGCACAGCGTATATTCAGCACTCGCGGTCGAGGTGGTATCTTTTATTAGACCCGCTAGATATTTGCAGCAAAAAAAGTCTTTCTTTGCAAGCTTTCAGGCACATGTGCCCATCTCCAGGCTGCAACCTGTATCCCTGTAGCGTGCGCACACACACACACAGAGCCACGCACAGCGTGCACGCAGGCGCGCGGAGCGCAGGCATCTCCCTACAAAGAGTGACCCGAGAGCGCAGCTAGCCCATTACCATATCCTTTGTGCCAGTTGCCACAGCAACCGGTAGTGGGAGTTCTCGAACTGACAGCCTCAAAACCCACAATGGCTCTCGGAGCCACGTCTGGGCCGTGGCGCCCCCCCCCAGCGCGCAGCACGGGGTGCTGCTGGGGCCTGCGGCGAGGGGCCTGGCCCCCGGGACTCCCAGCAGGGAGGTGGCGCCGGCCCTGGGCACCTGGTTCCCCCCCCCTTTCCCTCCTGCCCTGCTCCGTGTGCGCATCGCCCGGCGGGCAGGCCTGGTCGCTGGCCGCCCTGGGAGGACGCGGAGCCACGCGGGCTGGCTGCTGGGCACAGACCTGGGGCAAGGGAGGGGAGAGGGGCTGTCCGTGTGCCTGCCCAGAGCGTGGCAGGTGGGTGCCCGCAGGGCACGGCCTCCCCCTTGCCGCGGCGCACGGCCCCGCTGGTTGCTGCCAGCCCGCAGCCATCTCGTTTCCTGCCTCCTCCCGCCGGGCGGGCGG